GGACCAAGCTGCAGCCCTCCTTCCCCTAGAGAGCGTACTCAGCCTCTTCCCTGGCCTTCCTTTTCCTCCTCATCAGTCCGTCATCCTCCAGCATGCACCCAGAGTGAGCTTTCAAAACTGTAGCTCAGGTCACGTTTTCTCCCTGCCTAACCCTCCGCCAGAGGCCTCCACTCCCGCCTAGAACAGAACCCTAGGGCGGCCTTTGCCCTTCCTCCAAACGAAGACTTCAAACGGCCCCACCTCCAGCTATCCAGCCACACTGGCTCCTTGCTGCTCCTCCGTCGTGCCTTGGGGCCTTTGCACCCACTCCTTGCATCTCCCCCGATCCCGCTGATGGAGCTTTGCTTCTCCCCCATCACAAGGTCTCAGGTCAGAGAGGTCTTTGCCACTGCCTGTCTAAAACCCCTCTCTCCTCTCTCCTGAACATTCCGCCACCTTGTTTTACTGCTTTCCCGCCCGTGAAAAGGGGGATCGAGAGTATCTGACCAGGAGTTATCTTTTCCCTTTGTTTGTTTATTTATTTCTTGTCTGCCTTTTCTCTCCCTCCTGTCTGTCTTCTTCACATGCACAGAGTGGTCCCCAGCTCAGTAAATATTTGTTGAATGAGTCGTCTCCTTCGATGGGGTACAAGTGTCCCAGAGGCTTATAGAGGTTAAATAACTTTCTTCAGTTCATGCTGTGGAGCCAAGAACATAGGTCCCCCCGGAGGCCACAGCCTCAGCCATACTCTGCCTTCTATGTGGGTCTGTGGGGAAAACTTCTGCCTTCAGTGGGAAGACACAATCCGTTAACAGGGTCCTCCTCTAGTCTGTGCTCCACCCCGCCCCCACACCCCAGACCTTCAACCCGTCGGGGACTTCAGCTCTTCATCTATCTAGCTCAGTGACTGGACACCTGCTGATGGCTTGACCACCCACCATGGGGGACAGTTCCACAGGTTGAGTTTGAGTCCTGCCGCTACCAATACCTGACTGGGGAATTCTGTGCAAAGCTCCTCTCTGAGCTTCAGTTCCCTCATCTGTCAAAGGGAGAAACTGAACTGCAGGGGTTGGCAAACTTTTTAAAGGGCCGGATCGTCATTATTTTAGGCTTCGCAGGCTGCGTGATCTCTATTGCAACTTCATGGTGCTGCCGTCATAGAGCCAAAGCAGGGCCGTGTGACAATAAAACTTTATTTATAAAAACAAGTGGCGGGCCAGATGTGGCCTGGGGCCACTCTTTGCTGATCCCTGGATTAGACTGTCTCTCAAGAACCTCTGGGTCAGGTAGTCTATAATTTTTCATGCAACCGGAAGCACTTACCTACTCAAGTAGAAGGCGAAGATGTTCTGAGAAATGAGGCCTTGTTTCCACAGGTTGTCAAAGATGGGGGTGGACCCTCGGAAGGCGATGTTGGGGTAGGCCAGGCCTAGGATGCCATCAAAGGTCCCATTTTCAAAGGACTTGTTGGACTCCTTCTGGCTCAGGCCAAAAGCCTGGGACACAACCACAAGGCTTCCGATCTGTGGGAGAGGAGGTTGTTCTGGTATAAAGGTTTAGGAAGTGGGGCTGGGGTTGGGCGGGGGTGGAGGTGGGTGGGCAGATGTCACTGGTACCACAGGGGCCAACCGAGGCCTGGCTATGCCCTGGGCTGACCTCAGATGGCGGTAACGAGCCAGATCCCTTTGTGCAACACTGTGGAGTTTAACCAACACCCTGTTCCTCCTGCTCGCATCATCCTACTTAGTCAAATACGCTTTATTCATGTTTTACAGGCGGGGAAACCGAGACTCAGAGTGGGACCGAGTGGCTCCCACTTGAGGACCTAGTGAGTAGAGAGAAGGGTCGTCTTCTTTTTGGCATGACCATGATCTGATGACAGAAATGGAGCGAATCCGTTGCACTTCATTGTGGATTCTGCATCCCTTGCCCCTCCTCCCCAGGAGGCAGAAGCCACTTATATCATGTAGCTGCCAGGGGCCTTGTGAAAAGTCTGCCTGGGAAACACTCTTTTGGATGCGCGCGCGCGCGCGTGTGTGTGTGTGTGTGTGCATTCAGTCACTTTGGGGAGGCAGTCTGTAGTTTTTATTAGATTTTCGAAGGTCCCCCAAAGTAAGAACATGTTTATCAGGGCCCTCCGGCATCTGAGGCCCCCTGCTTTCCCTGCCCTAGTGTCCGGAGCCCTCTGCAGCCCCCAGAGGTCCCAGATCAGTTCTGCCCTCTCTTGGAAAATACTCCGTGCCTCCAGGTGTGTGACTTGGGGCAAAGCACTCAGTCTCTTTACCTCAGTTGCCTCATCTGTATTATGGAGATACCAATAGTGCCTGCCACGTGGGGTTGCTGCAGGATTAAACCAGTTATTACAGTGAAAATGCCCAGAATGTAAAAATGGGCAGTTGTTCCTCACCTCTCCGGGCAAAGTTGGCCTTCGGCTCACTGTGGGGAAAGGAGCTACAAACACACGCCACCAGGCCCCTCCTGCACAAGAACCCACTCTCCGGGTTAGCCATTCTGGAGGTTTGTCTGTCAGCAGGGCCACGATCTCCCCAGGGATGCGGCCCCACAGGTGCTGGGGGACTTTGGGATGAATGCGTGCTCCCCGCTGACCCTGCATCTGGTCCCGTGAGCAGTGGTTGCTCCCAGGGCCAGGTGCATCGCAGCCTCCGGTTCCCACCTTACCTGGACGTTGTCGTAGCCGAGAAACCCGGACATGATCCCCGAGCCGTAGATGAGCCGGATGCGCTGGCGTGTGCTCCGGAAGGTGGAGGACAGCCGGGGGTCGAAGACGTTGTGTGTGGCTGCAGACACAGGGGGTGCATGTCTGTCAGCCTGCCAAGGACTGAGGGGGGCCCTGAGGTGGGGTTCGGGGGCACTCACTGCAGGCCTTGCTGGAGCAGTAGATGGAGGGGACCCACAAGTCAGCTGAGCCGGTGTCAAAGATGACCTTGAACTCCTGAGGGGGCGTTCCAATGCTGATGTTGCCAACGTAGTACAGCTGTGGGGGCCGGGTGGGAGTGGTTAGGGCAGGCCTGACTGCCCTGGCCACCCCCGATCCTCAGGGTGCCTGCCTCTGTCACGATGTCCCGCGTTTCCCGAAATCACTTTCTAAACGTCCACAACTGCTGCTCGGGCCAGTGACTTCACTTGAAAGCTTTTCCAGCCTCCCCTGCAGCTCTCTAAATTTTCCATCCTTCATGGCCCAGCTTGAGTGCTTCCTCCTCCAGGCAGGTCTCTTAGGTCACCCTAGGCTACTTCCACTATCCTCAAAACATGTAACGTGAATACCATACAGGTAGCTCTTGCATTTGACATTTATTTAATCTTTGCCCGTCTCCTCTTGTGGAAGAGACGATACCCTTTGTTATCAATAACGATAACCGTAATGTTAGTGTTTTATAACCTTGCACACTGTAGGGGCTCAATGACTTTTTACTGGTGTCACTCTTGGAGCTGCAGAGGCTAAACTTCCTCTGCCTAGGGTATAAACTTAACTCACAGTTGGCTTTGTTGTCTGATCAGACATGGCTTACCCTTCAAATATAATATAACTCAGTTCAGAAGAAACGGAATCTGTCAAACCAAGTGCCGTGATTCACAGGTGCCCAATGATATACCATTGGCACAGAAACGGATGTTAACCTGCCACCTGGTCATTGCTGGACCCAGTCCCCACAGACCAAAAGTCGAGGGTGGGAGTGTGCCTTCTCCTCCGGGGATGGGATCCTTGTTCCCCAGCGTTGCTGCCTGCAGGAGCCCCACCTCCAGATGATCCTCAGCTCTTGGCCAGAGCTCTAGGGGGTGTTGTGGGGCACCCCACATCCCTCACCACCAACCGCACTTACATCCAGGTAGTTTCTCCTGGGTTCATAAGTCACTTCCGAGTTCGATTGCTTGTAAAACTTATAGGACAGTCTGTAAGGATGCTTCTCCAGGAAATCCTTCAGCAGGTCTCTTCTCCTGAGATTTTCTCGCATGGACTTGATCTTTATCAGAGGGATTCTTTCAGCGGGAAAAGGAAATAAAAAAGATAGCGATCCACTGCCCCGTGTTTCCGTGTGGCCACCACGCCTTGCTTGCTGTTACACTGTGTATTTTCCGAGCATTTTCATGAACATCAACTTATTATTGGGTTACGCCACTCGACGCCATGGAAAGACCATGGCAGGGGACCTGCGTTTGAATACAGGTTCCGCTGTCATCTTGGGTAAGCCATGTGACCTTTTGGAGCCTCGGGTTCCCCAACGAGTGGAATGATAATCCTCCCCTCACATGGAATGTTTTGGGTATTTATTAAGTGGGATGATAGATGAAATGCACCTGACATACAGGCGATCTCGACAATGACAGCCATTACCATTGCCATTACCATTGTCATCTCACTGTCTCTTTCTCAAAGAAGCTTTGGGAGCGCGGGCAAGTAGGAATCACAGTCCTCTTTTACAGGAGAGGCATCTGAAATGCAGGGAGTTTGTGACTTGGCTGGAGTCACACTGCTCGTTAGGCAAAACCAGGCCTAGAAGTCGCCTTTCTGATCTTTCTCCAGGGTCCGAGCAGAAGAGAAGTGGGGAGAGGAAGCCAAGAGATGAGGAATAAATTAGAGAAATTAAAGAGGCTACAGAAACAAAAAAGAATCAAACCAGAAAAAAACAGAGTATTGCATGCATAGAGACGTCCAAAGGGATGGAGAGATAGAAGAGAGAGATCGAGAGATGAAGACGCAGAGACAGATACACGCGGACATGGGGCGAGAGCAGGGAGAAGACCTAGAAGCAAGTTTGAGAGAAAAGATGTCCCTGGATGAGACCACACCTGGCCAATTCCGAGAGCACCATTCACATAGCCCATGTGCAACCTGGAGCTGTGCATCCCCACGAGCCCGTCCCAAACCTCTGCGCCCCACAGTGCACATGGCAAGCTACTCATCAATAAATGGAGACTTGAACTTTAAGACAGGGAATCATTGCATTTCTTTCTCTAACCCTGGATGGTCAAAGAATAAGAGGACAATGAGAAAGAGCCCAGAAAGAAAGCCAGTGCTACCTGCAGTCCCCATACTTACGTGACTAAGCATTCTGAGAGGGCCACCAGGCTGAGGACCCCAATCCACTTCATGCTTTTTCCCTGGATTCACGTCCTCAGGAAAGCGAGGTTTGAACATGCAGAAATGAGCAAGAACTGCTAGTTATGTATGCTCTGACCTGCCTTCATTTTCCCCCTGAGGGCCGCTGATGGCCCTGATAAGGAATACAAACCTCCCGATAAGATCTTCACCCCGTGAGTGTTCCTGAGGAGAGGACTTAGAAAATTCTCAGAATATAGAGATTTCTATTGTAATCTCTTCCTTAGGGGCTTGGCTGAAAACGAACAAACAAACAAACAAACCAAAAAGCACAAAACTAAAATCACATGACCTAATGAAGAGTGGGGAGACATTCGCTATCTCAGAGATAAAACACTGCTCATCATGTCGTAAAAATAAGCGCTAGTTAGTTACCATACCATGCTTGACATTCGTGGTCTTATGCATGATTCCTAGTGACCCCCTGAGGTAGGCATTGCTGTCCACATTTGGAGAGAAGATTGCTAGGAGGAATAGAGGTCAAATGACAGAATGAAGATGTTGGGGCAGTCCATTGACATGTGAATGGCTTTAGGTGGTGGGACAGAGGGCACAAATCAAGAGTATACTTATGATGCCAATCTGCTTCAGAGATCTAGGCTAGAGGACTATGATAATCGTATAATTTTAATATTGGGAGAAATGTGATGTATGCGACCAAAAGACATTCTATTTATCTGACAGACATTTATTGAGGACTCACAGCATGCCAGGGCCTGGGCTGGATGCTGGAAAGTCAGATAAGACATAGGTGGTCCTTGCCTTCCGGAAACTTGCAGTCTAGTGCAGGGCTCACGAACTCAAGGCCCAGGAGGCAGGGGAATGAATGGAAAGGCTGGACGGACATCATGAGAACTGGACAGCACATGCCCCACCACCACTCTGCTCTGATCGGCGGTTGCCGTGTTAGAAAGCGGGCTGGTTGGCCAGGTTTTCAAAAAACGTCAGGAGTCTGGATACTTATGTGAACTCTCCTGATTTTTAAATGTTAGCAACGAATTACATTGTTTAAAATATTGAGCCAAACTTTAAGCAATTGTGGGCTGGATTCAGCCTGTAGCCTGTGTAGGTTTTATTTCTGGCCCAGAAGTGGGAGTAGAGAAGGGAGTAGAGGAGGTGTTCAAGTCATGCTGTTTGAATGAATAAGAGACTGAAAACATCCTAACCATGTTAATTTTCCTTTCGTAGGTATAAAAAGACCCCCAGGCTCAGATATGCCAACGCACTTAGTAACTTCCCCTTGCCGAGTACCCGATGTAATTCTCCAACAGCATCCATGCCTTGGAAACGTTTCGTCTGCCAAACCAAACATACAAAGAAATAATTAATTTTTAACTGTCTTATCAATCGAAGAAGACAAAAACTGACCACCCACAGCTTCTTATTCTAGCTAAAGTAAAGGGAATGGAATCGATGGCTCCTTCCAGGACTCCCGGGGCTTCCGCGTTCCCAGGTGAGATCTGTCTGGATCCGTCCCTTGTGTAGGACAATGGGAGGTTGGCCTGGTCCCCAGTCTTAGGTGGTAGATGGAGGGAGGACTCTCTGTCTTACCCCTCATTGTTGCGCATTGTTAAAATTTAGTTTTGGGGGTTCAGCTCCTACGGAGGGGATTTGACAGCATCTAGCGAATGACACACACGTATGTCCTTTAACTCAACATTTCTTCTAGGAATCTATCCTGAAGATCTACTGGTAGAATTCAAAACCAGGTATGTATAAGCTATGCACTTCAATGTTATTTGCAAAAGCAGAAGATTAGAAACATATCAGAAGTGACCATCGACGGGAGTGTCAGATCAGCTCTAGCGTCCCTGTATGACTGGGTAGAGAGCAGGTGGGAAGAGGAACGAATAGGAGAGAGCTCTGGGGTACACTGTTTGGTTTTTAAAAAAGAGGGGGCAGAACAGTGTTTGCGATTTGCTGCTTTCACATACACAGATATGTGTGCATATATATGTACATATTTCAAGAAGAAACAGTGGATGAAGAAACCGAAAACTGATAAAAATTGTAATTTAAAGAGAAGGGCAGAGATAGAAGTAAGATTTTTCTTTTTTATGTGTGACTTTGCAACCATTTGCAAATGTGCTACCGAATCAAAAAATAAACACCTAAAAATCACATCCTTCAAAATCGAGAACAAACTAAAACGAATGAGCCTACTTGGATCAAGTCGGTGACATGGCCGCACACAGCAAATTACTTCCAGTGGATTTAAAATGCAGAATTTTGACTCTTATGTTCACAGTGGGATATTTTCTAAGGGCAAAGACAAAACAAAACAAAAAACAAAAATGAAACAAATAAAAAAGAAAACACGAAGAAATCTGAAACTGTAGCCAACGACTTTATCCTTGGTGATAGTACTACTGTTGATTTGCAAGGACAATGTGTATGTTCTCGGTTAAAGTAAGTAATCGGGCTAATGTGGTTATGAAACAGACTTTCAGTGGAAAAGAGATGTAAGTATAAAACGAAAAGGTTAAGTGAAACCCAACAATCTTAAAACTTGAATTGGAACTATAAGTTTGTATTAATTATTATTTTTTTTCCTAAAAATATGTATTTCCTAGCTCTGGACACTGAAAAACATAGAAGCAATGAAAACCTGATAACAGTGAACAGCCTAAGGCGTGGCTCCTGGCCACTAAATGTCATTTCCCACCATGGCTCCAGGGATTTTTGATGAGATGACTGATTCCAGGGCTGGGCCAAGAAGTGCACAAAATGAGCCTGGGGCATCTTGAATGGCCGGATGGTTGGGACCTGGGAAAAGATTCAGGAATCAGTATGAAAAAGCTTCCACTGGCCAAAAAATAGGACGATTTGAACATCACATCCAATCAATTGAAGCACATTAAATATATAAAAAGCCATGAGTTTCATAGGATATCACATAACATCGAATATGTCACCATGAAAACTCATTAGGGCACCAATTCGTTATTCCAATTGTTGAGAGAGAAAGGGAAATCATCGTCAAGATTTATTGCTGTTTTTGTCTGGATGAAGTATATTTCACATAGCTACAATTAGTTGATGAAAGAAAGTTCTTTTTATTGAAGAATTCCAGCAATTAAATTCAGGAGGAATAGTAGAATTAGGAAATCACTGTTCTGTAACTAACTCTTAATGAAACAATGGATGTAGGCAAAGGTCATTGATGAATGTAAAACCGCAGGGAAGTTCATAATGGATGGATGAGGTTGGCAGCATCGGGACCCCACGGTTCCTTCTTAGCATCTATAGAAGTGGGGCAACTAGAAATTATATGCCTCTTGAAGTGATATAATAAGAAATACGTGGAACTACCTATGAAGTGTTTCAATAAAACATTTTAAACTCAAGTCTAACTCTAACCCCCAGTTTTCAGTAAATACATACATAAGGAATGAGAAAGCGATCATCCAAACCCAATACTTGAGACATTCTGTAGGATGAGTGACCCTATCTGCTTCCACTTTTGAACAAATAAACAGCATAAAAGGGGAGAGACTGTTATTTATTAAAAGTCTTAAGAAAAAACAACTGAATGTAACTTCTGTGTGCATTCTCTAGATTCTGATTCCTGATTTGAATAAATAAATTGTTAAAAGGCATTTTTTTTTTTTTGAGAATCAGAGAAATTTGAACATGAACTGGATATTAGATGATATTAAAGCTGTTGATATTTTTTGAATAAAATAGCATGGTAACTATGTCTATTTTGTGGTAATCTCTGCCTTAAAATACTCCAGCAAAAAATGAACAAATAATAAAAAGATTCAAAAGGAAGGTCTAGATAAAACAAAGATTTGTGTAGTTGCTATGGATTGACTTGTGTCTACCCCTAAATTCCTATGTTGAATTTAGGGGTAGACACAAGTCAATATAACTCTCAATATAATAGTATTTGAAGATCAGACCTTTGGGGGAGGGGGGGTAATTCGGTTTAGATGAGGTCAAGAGGGAGCCTATCTCCCCCACCCCCCATCACCAGTGTGAAGACACTGTGAGAAGACAGCTGTCTGCAAGCCAAGAAGTGGGTCCCCAGGAACCAAATTGGCTGGCGCCTTGATCTTGGACCTGTAGCCTCCAGTCTGTGGCAGCCTGGGCGACTGAGACAGTAATGTAATTCATGATGCTGAGTGATGGAATAAAGTGTTCGTGATACTATTCTTTTTTATTCTTGTTATGTTTAAATTATTTCTTTATAATAAGAAGTTTAAACAACTTTCATTTTGAAGTTTCTGTCTGTAGTAACACCCCGAGGGTATCAGACTTGGGCAGGCCCCCAACAGCTGAGTCATGGGAGCCTGACCTGGGAACTGCCCCACTCCTGACCTCTCAGGGCTGCTCGACTGTCCATCTTGAGACTTGGAGAAGCCACCTCAGGGGCTGGAGGTGGCAGGAATGAGGAAAATTTTTAGGAAAAACAAACCAGGAATCTCCCTTTTGAGTGCCATCTGCAGGTTAAGAGATAGGGCCTGGGTTGGGAGCAAGCTAAGAAGTGAGGCCATGGGGTATATATATATTTTTCTTTCTGTTACTACATATTTGACCTCCTTTACTCCGTCTACCTCCACCCTCCCTCGCCCCTCTGGTAACCACTAGTCTATAGTCCATGTCCATGAGTCTCTGTTTGTTCTGTTCATTTGTTGCTTTTAGGTTTACATCCCACATGTAAGTGACAGCATGTGATTTTCAACTTTTTCTGTCTGGCTTATTTCGCTTAGCATGATTATCTCGAGGTCCATCCACGTCGTTGCAAATGGCAGTATTTCGTCTCTTCTTATGGCTGAGTAATATTCCATTGCATATATGTACCACAACTTCTGTAGCCAATCATCTATCGTAAGACACTTCAGTTGCTTCCATGTCCTGGCCACTGTGAATAATGCTGCGCCATGGGATATTTTGAAGAGAAGAGAAGATGAATTTACAACTGAGTGACGGAGAAGGGCAGCTCGTGCGGGACCCAGGAGGGGGTGGGATGGGAAGAAGGCCTGAGGAG